ACTCTATGCACGTAAAATATGAGCTTCAAGTCAAGAATAATCAAATGAGATAAAGAAAGTCACTACATATGCATTATGGAGAAACTACAGAAGAAGAGATAACAATGATAAATCTGTGTGCACCAAATACAGGCACACCCAACTATATAAAATAAATATTAATGGACATGAAAAATTGAATAAGCACTAACACAATTGTAATGGGACACTGTAATACCTCACTGTCACAAATAGATATATCAACCAGATGCATCCAGATGTATCAAACAGAAGAACTGAACCAAGCTCTTCTTGACTTAAGGGTTTGTGTTGAGATGTCTGCCTTGATTCTGCTGAGCTCTCCATTATAGACAATCTGTTTATTTCTTCTAACAGCTTTTAATATTCAGTTTTTGTTCCATATTTCTGGAATTTCAATTATTATATGCCTTGGCATAGATTTATTTTGACAATGGATAATTGGAGTTCTGTATGCCTCACTTAACTGTATGTCTGATTCTTTTTGCATGCTTGGGGTTTTTTTGCTATTATTTATGCAAATAGTCTTTTGATTTTTTTAAAGAGAAAACAATAAAAATACAAAATTTTAAAACAAGATTGTAAGAGAGTAATAGTGGCTAATATATTGCATATTGTTATCTTCAAAGTAGCTGCTCAGATTATAAGAAACAGGCATGAAAAATTGATCAAACAGTATAAGAACAAACCTTTCTTTCCAAGGAACTAATGGAAATTAATAGTATAACTATTTTAAATTTTATGTACTTATTTACTTATTTATTTATCTATTTTACCTTTTCCCTTCCTCCTTTTTCCTTTCCCTCTTCCCAGTTTCACTTTCACTTTGAACAGTTTCTTCTCACTTCTCAATATCTATTGTACATTTTGGATCTTATTTATTCTTTCAGCTTCTTACACTAGGGAGACATTATGATGTTTATACATGCCAGTTTGATTTATTACACTTTTAAGTATGGTCTCAAATTGCATGCATTTACCTATAAAACGCATTGGTGAAAAACAAACAAACAACAACAGTAACAAAAATACCAGACCAGATCATAAGTGGAACAATTAGAAGATGCATAAGCAACTCCAAACAAACTCAGCCACCTTACCTTTGACAAAGGAACCAAACATGTTCACTGAAAGAAAAGTAGCCTGTTTAATAAATGGTGCTGAAAAAACTGGCTTTCTACATTCCACATACTAAACTAGCCCCATGTCTTTCACCATGCACAAAACTAAAATCTAAATGAATCAAAGATCTCAATATTAAAACAGAAATATAAGTCTTCTGGAAGGGAAAATAGGTAAAAATCTTGAAGACATAGGTGTAGGCAGAGACTTCATGTACAAAATCCAGTTCACAGGGGAAATACTACAAGTAATCAAAACTGATATCTTATCTTATTAAAAAGCCCTAGAAGAACAAAAGGAATCAACAAGAGGGTGAAAAGAGAAATCACAGAGTGGAAAAAATGTTAGCCTGTTGCTCCTCAAGCAAAGGACAAACATCTAAAACATAAATTACTGAAAAAAATGATCTCCTAAATTCAAAGCTCCAATCCAAAAATAGGCATCTGAGATGAATGCACACTTCTCAGATGAAGTAAAAATGGCAAATAAATATGTGAAAAAATGTTCAACATCACTGATTATGTGAAAGATGCAAAGAAAAACAACACTAAGATTCCATCTCACTCCAGAAAAAAAAATGGTTATCATCAAAAACTCAGCCAATAAAAAATGGTGGCAGGGATGTGGAGGAAAAGGAACCCTTCTCCACTGTTGCTGTGAGTTTAGACTGATGCAACCACTGTGGAAATCAGTGTAGAGATTTCAGAAAAACTGAGGACTAAACATTCCACTTGACGCAGCTATTCCTCTTCTTTGTATTTTCCTAAAAGAATTAAAAGTATCATACCACAGCAATATATGTACACCCATGTTTGTAGCAGCACAATTTGTAATAGCTGAATCTTGAACAACCGAAATGCCCATCAAGCAATCAATAGACAATGTGTTTTTCAATGTAATGGAGTACTACTCTTCCATAAAGAAGGAAAAGTTTGAGACATTTATTCCTAAATGGATGGACCTTCAGTTCATACTCTTAAGTAAAATAAATCAGAGACACATGTGAAAATATTGCATTGCCTCACTGGTGTGAGAAGCTGAAAGTGTAAATAGGAACCAAATCATACAGGAGATATGGTGAAATGGAAAGATGCTGTTCAAAAGGAGGGGAACAGGGAATGGAAGGAAGGGAAAAATGAGAAATGAAGAATAAAATGGAAACAAAGCTTTACAAATAATGACAGGAAGAGGTGTTGAAGGGAGGTAGGAGAATGGAGAAAAAGACAAATCAATGTATATTATGTACAGGTACAAATTCCATATGATGAATTTAATCAGTGTGTATACCTAAATTGTACCAGTATATTTAATTAAACTACAAAAAAAGAATAGTGTGGGCTGAGGATCTAGCTCAGCAGCACAAGTGCCTGCCTGGCAAGTGCAAGGTCCTGAGCTCATTTCCTGGCACACACAAGAAAAAGAATACTGCAACTGTTGATCTTTATTTCAATCTGAAAAGAGCCATTTATGACAAAACAACAGACAACATTATACTTTCTTCAAAACTGAATGGTTTACCTCCAAAGTCAAGAACAAGACAAGGATGTCCACAGTCACCCCTCTTATTCAATATAGTTCAGGAAACATTAGCCAGAACAATTAGACAACAAGAAGAAATAAAAAGAATAAGGATAATAAAGGAAGAAGTTAAATTTTGTACATTATAGATGACATGACACTCTACATAGAAGCCCTCAAATTTTCACCAAAATACTTCTATAATGAACCAAATTCAGTAGTGTAGCCGGATACAATGTCAAGACTCAAAATCAATAGAATTCCTGGACATAAATATCAAACTCCCTGAGGAAGAAATTAGGGAAATCACACTTTCACAATAGCATTCTAGAAGATGAAAAACTTAGGAATCAGTCTAATGAAGGAAGTAAAGGAACTTTACATTAAAAGCTACAGTACTCTGAGGTTTAAGAAGATATGAGAAAATGTTAAAATATGTCTTGTCCTTGGATAGGAAAAATGAATATAGTGAAAATGGCCATATTCCCCAAATTGTTATTCGAATTTAATGCAATCCCAAGCAAAATGTCAATGGGATACCTCACACAGAGAAACAAATCATAAAATTCATTTGAAACCAGAAGAGAACTAGAATAGCAAAAGCAATTGTGGGCAACAAAGGCAAGCCAGGAGGCATCACAGTCCCCTACTTGAAATTATACTACAAAGCTACAGTGATAGAAACAGCGTGATACTGCCAAAAAAAAAAAAAAAAAAAAAAAAAACGGACCCAAGGATCAATAGAGCAGACTAGAAGGCAGAAAAACAACTCCACACACATTAAGTCACCTTATCTCTCACAAAGGCGCAAAACACCTTCACTGGAAGAAAGATAGCCTCTTTAATAAACGGTGCTGGAAAAACTGACTTTCTACATTCCAAAGAATAAAACTTTATAAGAATCTCTCACTGTGCACTAAACTAAAATCAAAGTACATCTTCAGCATTTCAGTTTGACTCTTCCTTTTATTAGTCATGTTAGCTCTCCAAAACTTCCACTTTCTGATGTGTTCTTCAATTTCCATTTTAAAATAAGATAAATATTGTTGTAGAGGACTTTCACGTTCTTTGTTAATTCCTAAGTAGTTATCAATTTGTGAAGATATTGTTTTCCTAATATCTTTCTCAACAGGTTCCTTATTAGTGCATGTGAACACCATTGATTTATCTGTATTTCTTTTGTATGCTGCTATTGTGCTGAATTTGTACATTAGTTCTAAAAGTCTCAGTGGAATTTTTGTGTATTCTATATAAAGAGATGTACATTCTTTGAATAAGGGCAATTCAACTTCTTTTCCTTATGTATCCCCTTTATTTATCTCCTGTGTAATTGCTCTGTTGAAAGTTTGGAGTATTATTTGAATAGAAATGGAAATAGTGAACATCTTTTGCTTGTTCTTGATTTTAGAGGAAAACAATTTAGTATGATGCAGACAGAATGCTTGTCATAAATCTTTTTTTTATCAGCTACAGGTACAGTTTTTCAGTTCTTATTTTCTTTCGGGTTATCAGCCCACAGCTCTTTCCTAATCTCAGGCTTTGGGAGCCATTAATCTAATTTCTGTCTCTGCAGTGTGCCTCTTTCATGTATTTAATATACATGAGTTGTACACTATATGATGATTTGTGATTAGGTTCTTAACTTTTCATATTTTCAAAGCTTATTCATTTAATAGCATGTAGGAATATATCTTTCCTTTTAATGGTTACATAATGTTTTATTATGTACATATATCTCGTGTTTTAAATGTATCTACCTGATAGACAATTGGGTTATTTCTACTTTGAGGCTACAATGGATAATGCTGTTAAAAATGTCAGAATGTGATTTTTTGGTTGACCGTAAGCTTTTCATCCTTTTAAGTATTTGTTTGGAAGTACAACTGAGTGTGTTAAACTCTGTGTTAAAATTTGGAAGATGTTTTCCAAAATAACTTAAATATTTTACATTCTCATAAGCAGTATGTAAATGCTCTCATTTCGCTATAACTTGACCAATACTTTTTATTTTCTCTCTTTTCAGTATAGCCATCATGGTGGGTTTTAACTAATAGGTCATTTTGATTATGATTTTCACTATGACTAATGAAGTTAAGCATATTTTAATTTTTATGTTGGTCATTCATCTGCATCATTTATGTTTTATTATTGAGCTGTAAGTATTTTTCATATACTCTGGATACAAGTTCCATTTTAGATACATAACTTGAAAATCATTTCTCTCATTTTGTGGGTTACCTCTTTGGGTTACTGGTATGTTTTGCAACATCTCATACAGTTTTTAAAGTTTCCATTTATACCAAGTGTCAAATGTGGCATGAAAAGTATTGAAAATGCCTTACCCGAACTATTTCACAGTCAACATTTAGTTCAGTTGCAACAGCTTCAATCTTTTCTCTGCAAACTGAGCCCAGGCTGGTCATGCCATTGTCCCAGTATTTCTTCAGAGTAGCTAAGTCTTGGTCACTAAACTGAGTGCGATCCTGTAGCTGAAAAAATATTTTTTTTAAAGTTAGAATAATCAGTGGAAGCTATGTTCTAGACAGGATCATCAAACTGAGATGTATGAACTACTTTCAGTAAGTAGTAGAGAAAAGTACACTTCAAAATTCTTACTCTGAGTTCCCTCATTCTGAAAATGAGCATTTTCATTGGTTTTACTTGTATATCATAATACAGTGTGTTAGGATGAAATGAGTATTTTGTATAACTGACAGAAATTTACAAATGTTAATTTTAAATGAATTTAATTACAAAAATAACACATCGTTGTAAAAAAGATAAATAAGAAGAGATTTTACATCACCTGCAGCATGGAAAAATACTTAACATTTTAATTGAATATTTTTCAACTTTTTCTGTAATATACCTTTTCATGTTAAGAAACAACACACACCTAAAAATCAAAGACAGGATGATATCAGTGTGCTGAATTTTGATAATCTAGATTTGCTACTTAAACCTATAAAGTAGTCTCCTAATTATGTTGCAATTAATTTAAAATGTAAACAACGAAAAGAGGACAATAATATAGTCATTAAAATCATATTTATGGCTTCAGAAAACTTTATAGTAAACCTTAACTTTTGATTTTTGCTTATTTAATACAATAAACTATGGATTTTGTATATTATTTTTGTTTAATGGTTGCTAGAGGCCTTTCTAGGAAGTAAATTAAAACTTCCATTCTGTTGTCAAAGCTTTAGGGAAAGAAAGGTCCAAAGATTCACTCAACAGTATACAAAGTGTCCACTGGAGAGCTAGAAAGCAAAATAGCTCTGATTTTTTCTAGAAGCTCCATCCCAGTGATGTCTTCAGTTATCTCAAGGGTTGGTAGAAAAACACAAACATAGGGTTTAATTATAGTGTATATCCTCCAAACCCTGTGTGAATGTATATATGTGCTTGTAATGAGAGAAAGGATATTGATATAGGGAGGAGATAGAAAGAAGGATATAAGGGGGAGTCAGAGAGAAAGAGAGAGTGAGGGAGACACTGAGAGAGGGAGTGAAGAGACAGGGAGCAAAGAGGGAGAAAGGGAGGGAGAGAGAGTGATTTAAGTATAGGTTAAGGAGTAATGTTGCAAATTATAGCATGGTATCCAAGGTTCTGTTGCTATCTTCTGCATAAGATCTTCAGATGACATGGTCTGTTTCCATACAGAATGGCAACATTTCTAAAGCTTCTTAGATAAAAACTGCTTTTAATACTTGATTTTCAACTGAAATTAAAAATAGAACTCCTGAATAGGATTCTATGTAACAAAAGAAAATAGTATATGCAACACATAAAATGTGACATTTCAAAAGAGTCTCTTTAGCTAAAACAGATGTAATACCAAGTAGCGGGAAAATTTTTGTTTGTTTTAAACTACAGTCCTTTGAGAAGCAATTTTAACAGCTAAGGGAATAAGCAATATATCATTTCTCAGTTTACTACCAAGAGAGTTGTATGTGTGTTTCCATGTGCGTACTATTAAATTTGATTACAAGCTAAATCTGTTCCTTCTACCTATAAAACCCTGAGTAACATTTATTAGTAGTACTAATGCTAAATTACATGTTCCCAACAAATGAATCAAACATGTCATCCAAGTTTTTTTTTAAATCAAGAGGAATAGCCCTCAAGATATTTACAAAATAAAAATTACATTAGTTGTTTATCTTTCACTGATTGTAAAATAGTTGTGGAGCTAAAATTCTCAAAATGGGAGCAAAATAAGAGGTATAAGATTTTAAGAAGATTCAAATAATTCATCATAACTGCAAAAATATTCCATAATGTTCCATTGTGCCAAATTATCTAAAACAATTTAAACTGCATTACTGTCAGAATGGAAGGAATAATGAGCAGAACACTGAACAGCCTCAGTCACCTGACTTGTATTTCACTTAGAGGACATAGCAAGCTGATTTATCCCTTAAATTTAGCTAAATAAAACCTACTTTGACTTGCTAGAAATATGCTAGGGTATTAGCATTAAGAATGCTGAAGGTGACTTATTATGATAAGGTGTGCCACACTTCTATGGGGAGGGGCAATTATATTTAAATCTTTTAAGAGCAAAATTTAACTAAGAAAACAAACAAGGTAAAAAAAAAACTAGATTAAAGTAAAATTTAACTGTGAATATCCACTTGGAGAAGGAAAAAATGGACACTTAGAGGAGAAGGTGAATTCTTCCTTAAGGAAGCCTGAAGTAGATGTCTTGAAGTTGGCTGTGTCTTTCTATTGTACTTGAAAGCCATCTTCACTTTATAAGGGTTCCTGAAACCCAATCCTCTGGCTCAGATAAAGCATACAGGCAATTATTTTACTGATTTTGTGAAAGCATTAAGTAACACGGGCAACCTAGATGAAAAACTACAACTCAAGTAATCAGGTAATTTTGTTGATTTCACTTGGCTTCATTGCAATAAAATTCACTGAAATATGACACTTTTATCTGTCTCCAGGTCCCTTTTAGGAATTTGTGTCTTTGATTTTAATTTAAAAATAGTGCTAGTTGGTCAACCTCTAATATAGTGGTATAAAGTTTCCTGTTTTATGCATATATCCTAGTTAAATATGGAAGCAAGATATAGATATAGATGATACAGCTATGTATTCCTTTTAAAATAATAATTAAAATTTTCTAACTCCAATAATACCCTTAGCTTCTTTGCTCAGCTTTCCATGTGCATTCACTACCCTGTCCTATCCAGATTGTTGATTTGGATACTAGTCAAAGCTGTTAAGATGTAAAACTTGCTTTACAAAAGTTTGCGTATCATTCTATTAGATTCTGACTTCCTTAATCAGCAGAGACCATGCCCTTTTAATATATGCCATGACCTCATATGTGCTAGATAAGCACTCTAATACTAAGCGCAACCCTTGCTATTAAATAGAGGTAAATAATCAAAAAATGTGAAATGAACTATAGTCATTCTCTCTTCTATACTCATAAATTCACAGTCCTGAAACCAAAGACAAGCACATTTAATAGTTTCCTCAGTAACATTACAGGATAAAATGCATATATACTTGAAAAAAACCAGACAAATGACATGACACTATAAAATTTTATACTTAATTGTGTGCCTTGGAGATCTTTTTATTTGTGTGTGTGTACACAAACCTTATGAGACAGAACTTCTTAAGAAAATTTTAAATATACAATATGAGAAAATTTTCTTAAGAAAATTTTTAATATACAATACAAAATTTTAAATATACAACAAATGTTACTAATTATAAGCAAAAGTGTAGAAAATCTCTAAAATTTATTCATCTTGTATAATTGAAATTTATACGCATTCAGCATTAGTTCCCCACTTCCTTCTCACTCTTGCCCTTGGCAACCATCTTTCGGCTCTCTGCTTCTTTGCATTTGACTATTTTAAAAGATAACTCATGGAAGTCAAATCATGCAATATTTTTTATTCTGCAACTGTCTTCCTTCATTTAGCATAATGTCTTTCAAATTTACCCATGATATCGCAAGTGGCAGGATTTTTCTTTTTAAAGTGTGAGGAAAGGACTGTGATTACTGATGGTCGGCTTATGATCCCCAGCCGTACTGAGTGCACGTAATGCGGGGTGTGGGAGGCTTGCCCGAGGATTGTTACCATTAGCTGAGAGGCAGAAATGGAAAGGGATAATGAATTTCTCCTGTTGGTCTGAGTTACATGCTGGGTTTGAATACAAGGCGATTGAGATTAGTGATCAGGGCTGCAATCCCAGAAGCTGTAAGCTCCCTGATCCCAGACTTTTGCCTCTCCTGTTTTTCTTATCTCTTTTACCTTGTCAGCCACGGACACCTCGTTCTAGGGACCTGTCACCACAGTTAATACCAACATTAAAGAGATTATGACTACATGTATAGTTGAATATTACACATATACTATATTTTCTATATTTATTCATCTTCTGATGGACATTTAGTTCTCTTCTGTATCCTTGTAATTATGAAGAATTTTGCAATGAACATGTGAGGGAGGGCAGATAGCACTTCAAACCCTGCTTGTTAATAATCTTTTGTCTGTATACCAAGAAGTAAAATTTCTGGATCATAGAATATCTTTATTTTTAGTGTTTTTGTGTGTGTGTATATTTCAGGGTTTTTTAAGCTATTACAGATCTTTCAAATGGACACAATAAAAGGTTATCTACTGATCAATATTTAGGTAGTTTTCAAGTAACTGGTACTATAAAAACAATGTGAAACAGAAATCCTGCAAATACACATTGTTTTATATTTACAGTTACATGTAATGTGAAATTCCTAACTGTGGTTTGGTTATTTCCTCGTCTTTGCATTGGAGAGGAAGAAGTTCCTTATTTAGTCATGAGGATGGCCAAAAATAAGTCCCAACACTATAGAGATCAGATCAGTAATAGTGTATTAGTCACATATACATATAGCCCTAAATGTTATATGACATGCATGGCCACATGAGGTTACACTTGGGAACAAAGTGTACAAATTGGAGCTTTGGGAGGTATAACTTTGTAATAAAAGAGTGATATCACATTTAACTCCCAGAGAAAAATGTGACTGGATTTTTAAATCATTCTGTTGGCCAGCAGGGATCTGAGACCTGCTACTCAGGGATAAGCAAGCACCGTGCCTGTGCCCATGATAAAGAAGATTGTTTGAATACCTTAGTTTAACTGCAGGAGAACATGCAGAATGTCATCTGAGTGTCTTCTCTTTCCCCAAACGTCAAGACTCATATTATACATACAAGGCCTCAATTTTAGGTTTTATACAACAAAGTGGGATTGACGAGCCAAAATATATGTACATTCGAATTTTTAAAATGCAGCCCTGGGAACTAAACATAGAGCTTTGTGTATGCATGGCAGGTGTTCTACCAGAGGAATAAAACACCAGCCCCTATACTTTATTTTATAAATACTGCTGACCGTTTTTATCTGTGGGTTCTGCAGCCACAAATTAGACAAGCCACAGTTTTAAAAATTTTTTTTTAATTTCAAAAAGCTT